GAAGTACTGAAGAACTATAGGGATGCGTGACTTCTTCCCATCCAGCTCTCCTTCCTGCTCAGCCTGGAGCTCCTGGGTGCCACTGCAACTGGGAAACGCCCTGGCCTTTTCCACATTTCCCAAGGAAGGAGGACACCTGTCTCCCTATAACAGGCAGCACAGCCTGCCTCCTCGCAGCATCCCTGAGCAGGAAAGAAGAGGTTGGCCTTCTTTGTCTCCACTTTGTAGGTGGAAAAAGCAAGGCACCAAGAAGTGAAGTGAGTTATCCACAGCCACAGTAGGGACTCCTGCATCCACCTGTGTCATTTTCTGGATCTTTCTGGGTCTAAAGAGGAGCACCTAGAAGATGTGCAGCCGAAATAGATCTCCCAAGCCCAATACAGCCGGAGGCCCCGAGGGTTGGAAAAAACAGATTGAGCGTTCACTTAATAGATGACTGCATATCCAAATCCACCATGACAGATGGCCACTGTTTGTCTATTGAGAGATGCTCACTGGGCTAGCAATTGGCACTGTGACTTCCTTGTCCTCCTCAGTTTCAGGATGATCTGCTGGAAGTAGAATTCCCTGGGGGCATGGTCATAGAAATGCTGACTGCCTTCACTTTCTTCTGGTGTGGAATTTGGGGATTAGAATTAGAATTTGGCAAAGGCCTCATCTCACACAGGGCAGGGGGCCTGCACATTATATTCTATTCTTCATGAGATGGGGCAGCCGGGAACAAGCAAGTGCCCCCAGGTGCTGTCTGCTAATGTCCGCTGTGGTCTATTCTTAGCCCTTGACACAAGGTGTTGGCCTGGAGCAGAGGGATCACCTGCTATCCTCCATCTGCTGCCCTTAGGTGTTGTCATTAATAGCACACATGACCTTTGGCTCAAGAAGGTTCCAGTCCTGTCCTGCCAGCCACTGCAAGGAAAGGCACAGGAAGCAAGAAGAAGCAGATGGTGCCTGGGAGAATTGAGTAAGGCAGACAGAACCAGGCAAGCAGAGGAAAAAAGCTACAGCTGGATCAAAGGCAGTGTCTTTTTACTATTTGGCCAACAGCACAAGATGCAGTGTTTTAAGCCACAAAGGAAACCTGTAAAATAGCTAAGGATGAATGAAAAAGAGGCTTGTGATGCCAATACAGGAATTTAGAAGAAGCATTATCTTTTTTCCCAGTAAGTGGCTTAGAAAAAAAATCTCTCTGAGAGGGCAAAGTTGCCTCTTTGTGTTTTCATATGTTTTGAAGTTGAGACAGGCACACATTGTTCTAGGAGGCTTGGTGCTGTCCTCCTACAAGTCCCTGGGTTTGTCACCTGCTATCAGCTATTTTCTGTTACTTCTGTTTTCCAGAGGTGGAACTGTGCATGAATATGGAATGTTGCTTCTATGATAGTGGGAAAATGTGGGATGAGGAGAAAGGTATACCGAAACCTGAGGAAAGTGTTCACTGTCTGTCTCATGCACACTCTTGACCTTGGAGAGGAGCAGACTTGACCTAAGTCCATTTCCGTTAGGATGCCTGCGTGATGCTTTAATGAGCACGCTGTCCTACATGGTCAAACACTCAGTGTGTACCTGTCAGGTTGGCAAATCCCTGTGTCCTTCCTGCTCCTGCATTCTTATGTGGCCTATTCTAGGTCTTCCTGGAGTTCTTCCAGGTCTCCCTGGCAGTTTTTCTAGCCCACACTGAGAATGTCACCTGGGTCTGGATGAAATTAATTGCAGGGATCTCTCTTCCCATTACACTCTCCAAAGTTAAATTCTACTCCTCCTACAACCAAATCTGGTCCTGTTCTTTTAGTGTTTTTCAGTTTGGCAAAGAAATAATGGGTTTGCCTTCTTCATCAGAAAATCAAATAAGTACACCCAAGAGGACCTTATCCAGTGCACACAAAGTCCGAAAGGGCTCTTGCTAAGAGGTAACAGCTTACCTTGGCAACGAAAATGGCACTGTGTGGGTCAAATGAATGGGATAGGTGACCACCTCCCCCCAGCCCTTGGCAGAACCAGGAGCATGAGGACAGGAATCTGCAAAATGCACCCCAGTTTCATAGCCTCTGAGGATCTGACCTGTTTTTCCATACCAGAGACTGAGCCCGGGTAATCTGCTTTAGGCGATGGGCACAGGGAATCTTGCTCGCATCTGGAGGCATTGCAGTTTGGGGCTTGTTACAGACTTCCTGTGAGCAAGCAGCACAATGGACAGGGAGAGGAACATGCAAGTTCCCTAGCAGGCATGTACAGACTGTGAAGGAAGTCTGCCGGGAGACTAAGAGAGGCTGTGCCCATTGCAGAGCTGCTTGAAATAAGATCAGCACCAGAAACCTCTTCTTCTGCTCCATGACCTGAAGCAGATGGGAGGAGAATGGACAAAATTACATTGTTTGGTGCTTTAAAACAAAATCAGGAGATTTCTGGGTGATCTGGTCACCAGCTAGACAGGATCCCCTCTGTTAGCCACCGTGGAACTCAAGGGACTGTGGCTGCAGAAGCTTTGGGTTAGAGTCACAGGGACCACAGCATCACGGATGCTTCTGGGCCTATGGAAGGGTTATAGGGAACCCCAGACCGCAGAGAAATGTTTTACACTTTGACTGAGGCATTGCCATGAAGTCAGCATGGGTCATTCCAAGGCAATTAGGCTGGTTCCATTCTGGTTCCCTATCTGCTTGGAGTGAATATGTGCTCCATGGCACCCTCGCTACCTAATTCAGGATGAGTATGATCCTGCTGAGTAAGGTGACACCCTCCTGGGCAGAGAACAGGAGTGGGTTTGAGATATGAATGCTTTGTGGGGAGGAGAGTCTATGGGTGCCTTATCTGAGGGTCTCGGGGTCTTTGGGCACATGAAGCCTCAAGTTTGGTGTCCCAAGCTGGTGACAGTGAACTTGAGATGCCTCACTCATACAGAATGAGACTTCCCTCCAGACAGGGAGAAAGCACAGAGCTCCTCAAGCAAGGTGGGCAGGGCTCACAGGTACAAGGCTACACAGACAGCCATTTTTGGGTACTCCTCCCCTGCCTAAGCCCCAATGTGTATGAGAATGAAAAGAGCTGAGTTTTCTACTCCGCTACAGGAATGAAATATGAATATCTGTGGGGGCATGTAATGTGGGAGCAAAACAGGAAGAAAGGCAAATACTTTTTTCTAGAACTCTGGTACCAACAGACTCACCTCTTACCATCACTAAATATTAGTAATTGCTTATTTTCAACAGGAGATCTTGGAGAAGAAATGGGTTCAGAGCTACCTCCTCAAAAAGCATTGTAGGCAGCCTGAACAGAATGGGCTAGGGTCTCACTGTTGACCCTTGTTTTGGAGGGGAGGGGGTTGAAGGCCCAGGAAAATAGCAGATGAAGCCACCACATCTTCCTGGTGCAGCGTGAGTCTTCCACAGTGTGTCCTTAAAAATTGGGTTTTCCGGCTCAGTGCCATCAGTGAGGGAGACAGAGCAGTGAACATGTGTGTGAGTCCAAGGGCAGCTGGCTGTCTGCAGTTCACTAAAGGGAGTGGTCACTGGCAAGGGAGAGGTGGAGAGAAGCCTCCAGGGGAGTAGCCTGGGGCAGCTTAGAGAACCGTTTTCTCTTGACTGAACAGGTGCAGGATGGCAAAGGCCAACACCACAAAAGTCTGGTTACTGTTTTTACGTGTTCTAGGCTCTCTCTTCTCAATTGTTGCTTTCTGCCTTCCTTTTCCTATCTCAGCAAAAGTGGCTCTCCCTGCAGCTTCTCACACATGCACATCTTCACCTGCATTATTCAGACTGGTATAAGCAGGGTGGAGGGGTTCAGGTGAGGGCAAGGGGAAACCACTTAAAAGGAAGCATGTGCTGCCTGGAATGGAGTCCACCAAGAGTTGAAAGAAAGGATTGATAGGGTCTCCTGGGCCCTTCTCCTTAGTTCCTAGGGTATGATGCCCCAGGAGGCCTTCCCTGAGCTGGACACTGCCATTCCAACTTGCAGGGCTCAGGTCAACACGAGCAGACTTCCAAGTAAATGTGAACACATACATGTGTGTGCACACACATTTATATGCATATGTGTGTATGTACACCAAATGCGGAACAATGAAACAGGTCACAAATCTGAGCTGATAACAGTGCTGAAGCAAGAAAGCTAAAGGAAATGCATCCAAGAACAGACATGGAGCTAAAGTGCCAGATGCCCCTAAGAGGACATGTGGCAGAGAATGTGGAGAAAACTGCTCAAGAGACGGATGCTGGCAGAGCCCCAGGCCCGAGGCAGACAAGGGACCCCAATGAGCCCAAGGAGCTGGCCCCCCTCAAATGGCCTCACCTTCTCTAGTCACAGCAGAGTACTTGGGTGCTCCAGAGAGAGCAGAGCGGGAAGAAGATACAGTTAAGGAAGCATCCATTATGGGACTGTCACTCCCAAACAGCTCCCAAGTGGCTCACAGGTCTGTGCTAGGATGGGGAAAGAGGCAGCCCTCCTCACTGAGTGTGCCTCAGTCTGTCGAGCTTTCCAAATTGGGTTGGGGTGGGGACAATGGGCTCCTCCACTTCTTTCTTCCCACCAGGGAGGACTTCAGGGAGCACCTGAGTCAGGGAGGAAGAGGATGTGCTACAAAGCTACGTGATCATGCACGAAGTCAAGGTGGTTCAAACACAGAATTTACAACCGATTTTATAACCGATTGAGGTTTTTAAAGATTTAGATAAACAATGAATTGGGTAGGAAGGAGAAGCCTCTTTAAACAATCATAACTTTTAAATCCCACAAATGCACAAAAATAGTTCCTCAATTTTTGAACTTCTCTTAAGAATAGTTCAATTTGAGGTTTTGCACCCTAAATAGTTATATCTGGAATTTAAGAGGAAAAGAAAACCGCAGCTACACGCAACAGAGACTAACAGTATTTACTTAAAAATATTGTGTGTGTGTATATATATATATATATTTATATATATATTTACTTTTATTTATTTATTTATATCCTTTTTTGTGGTGATTTTTTTCTTTTCCTTTTTTTTTGTTTTTTTTTGTTTGTTTGTTTATTTTGTGCCCAAGTAGATATACGATGGAATTGAAATGATGCCCCTTGGATAAAAATCTTCTTTAAAGGAGCAATATTTTGAAAAATCAAAAAATTTAAAAGACTGAAGATACTTGCAACACCTCCAGAAATTTAACATGGAACAATGAGAAAATAAACAGTTGAATCAAATCCTCAGCTAGACAACACAGACTCTAAGACCCACAATGGGCTGCTGGTATGTCTTGCTCTCTCTACAGGGACTCCAGGCAGGCACTAGCCCATCCATCCCACTCCACCCCCACCAGCCCCAGCTCCCAGCCCCACACATGGCATTGCATCCAAGCCATAACCAGTAACTGCCTCAGATTGGTTTTGTATATTTCTGGCAAGACCTTGCAGCAGACACACGCATATACACACACATACATGTGTGCTATGGACACACACATGAACACAAACACACACACCACACACACACACACACAGAGACACACACACACATACAATTCCCCATTCAACCCAGATGCACCAGGTGAGCTGAATGATTTTTCAGCCAACCACAATGGTGAAAGACAGAAGCACCAAACAGTCTTTGAAATGGGTCAGTTATTACAATTTGATTTTTTATAGATCTATGTATATATTCTAGTTTTCCTCTTTGTGTTGTTGTTTTAAAAAGCACAAATGAAAAATGAATTCTTTCCAGATCAATTTAAGGCTTCCCACCAAATGGAGACAGCAGAGGCCCTAAACAATATCATATTGGATCAATGTATCCCATTCACAGCCTTAAAATGATCAAACAGATCACTGTTGCCAGTCACTAATTATTCAGTATTGTGCCTTTAAATTGATGTCATTCTTTTTGCTACTATGCTGAGTTTTATTACTACTGAATCTTTTTGATTACATATGAAAATCTTCTTTGATTTGCTTAAGAATTTCCTATCCTTACCCAATTATGGGGGTAGCTTTTGGTGTGGTCTGGTTTTGCTTTTCACTAGCAAAACAAATGTGATTCTCGCTAAGTGAATGCTAAAATGGCACATAGTCAGCCTTCAAGAGGCTTTTCCAGCCATTTGAGTTCCAAACAGCCCTACAGCTTCTAGAAGGCTTTTCCTGCCTAGAGGAAGGGGCAGGAGACAGGGTAAGAGAAACTGAAAGAGGAGGGGTTTTTATGCCTTTGCTTTTGGTAAATTTGTTGTCTTCAATACAAATAATTAGATAGGAAGAATGAGTGATTCGTGTTGTATTGGTTGGTTGTTTTGCGTTTCTAAGATTTAGCTCATTTGATTGTTTAATTTTCCCTCTCCTGGTGTGAAAGTCACCAGGAGTTTTGCATGAGAAAACGTGACAGTACTTAATGAAACTCAGCACCTAAGGGCATAAGGCAGTTGAAGGTTTGTTTGTTTGTGTTTGTTTTGTTTTGTTTTGTTTTGTTCTTTCAATCAGCACCAATCCCAGAAATGATCTACACTTGGTGTAAGGTATAAAACTGTTTTTCTTTTGGAGTGGAGACACCTCCTCCTTCTCCACTCAATGAACCAGAGTGTGGGATTTTTTTCAATACTGATTCTTATGTGTAGAAAACAAAAGAAAGGTTTTCTTTTAGTTTTTACTTACAAAACATAGAGAGTATCTTTGTATACATACAGTGACTGGAAAGAAAGCTTATCTGAAGGGGTGGTGACTTATTAATTTTGTTGTTGTCTGTTGTCATTAGTGGCGGCGGTGGTGGTGGTGTTGGTGGTGGTGGTTCTGTGTACTGGGGGGTCTGGGGGAGGGTTATATTTCTTGCAAGCGGTGTTGACCGCAAACCAAACTTAAGGTCCCTTTCTCAACTTGGGTCAAGATGCTTTCAGAGGGAAGACTCATACTGTAGCAACTCATAGAGGAGCGGTCCATCTCGATATCGAATGCCTACTGCAGTGGGAGTGACATACTGTAGGATGTTAATAGTCCTTCTCAACCTCCTGTCTACAAAGTGAGCATCCCATGCTGGGTATCGCTTTCTTGGCATGTCAATCTTAATGAGGGGCCCTTCAGGATGATAAGGACGCCCCGACGGGGTCAAGGGCCCCATGGGTCTCACTTGGAACACGGGCAAGCAAGTATCAGCCGTGACATCTTCCTGTTGTTCCGTTACGGCTCTGGTGGGCGTGACCTGGGTCCCCCGGTACCCAGGGGTCTGAGGTGCCATGGGCTCAACATCGGGGGGCAAAGGGATGCCCCAGAGCAGCTCGGCACAACAGGAGCTGGCAAAGATCTTAGCTCGCGGCCCCATGGGATGTAGCACACCGTAATATAAGAGCATCAGTACAATCCCAGCCACAAAGCTAATGAAGACACAACACAGTGCTGGCACCGCATAGGAGTCAGTGGTCTCCGGGTTTCTGTAAAAATACCAAAGGAACGTCAAGGCAGCATTCTCCGTCAAGACTATCGTATAATATGCAAACATTCGATATCGAGTCCGCCCTTCCTTGACGTTAAACCAGCAGAAAATGTACACAATCCCTACCACCATGTTGAAGAGGATCTCCTCCCACTTGGACATGCAGAAGTCTGTTCCGCCATGGATGATCCAGAAGGCCATGGCGCACCAGTGGACCACCACGAAGATCCCGAAGTAGAGCTGGAAGATGGAAGCAAAGAGGGCAAAAGAGATAACTCGGGATGAGATGGTGAAGAGGCGCCAGAAGAGGTGGATGAGGGCGCCTCGGTAGCTCATGCTCTTCTTGTCGTCCCTGGAGTCCCGCAGCAGCTTGTGATAGGAGGCTAGCACCCAAGCCAGGGACATCAGGGAAGTCACAGAGGAGACACCTGCCGGAAAGACACAAACCCACACAGTCAAAATCTTGGCACATCAACCGCGCAAGGCACGGGCAGGGCTGCCGGCTGAGGAGATACCCACGCAAGCGGCGATCTAGAGGAGGAGGGAGAAAGAAACACACCATCAGGAATGGCACTTGGGAGTCCTGGTGGCTCCTTAGGCTGACAGCTTCATTGGCCAAATTCCACAATTGCTCTTCTTCTGAGAAGGTACCAAGGGCATTGTGCCCTCCCCCTGCCAGGAGCCTGAATGAACACCTTGTCTGTTTGGCTCCTTCCTGGTCTACCACCTACAGCCACCCTCTGGCTTATCCTTCCTTCTTGTCACATCTGCCATTCCCTCTGGTTTCTATGCACCTCTCCTCACTCTTACTGTTTCTCCCAACCCACCACCGCTCCCAGTTCTCTTAGACCTTGTCTCATAGGGCCATCCTGCTCTGGCTTCCCTCCAAATTTAATACCAATTGCTCATGCTTGGGACATGCCTCTTCCTCTTTCTGGTTTGGCAATCTTTCTATCTTTTCTTTTCTTTTCATGGCCAAAGCTAAGCCAATCCGAACCCACAAGGCAGGAGCTCTTCTGGGTACTCTGTGTGGCTACAGGGTATGAAGGCTTTGAGCCATCCTCTGCTGCTTTCCCAGGCCGCAATCAGGGAGCTGGAAGGGAAGTGGAGCAGCTGGGACACAAACCAGTGCCCATATGGATCCTGGCACATGCAGGGCAAGAATTTAGCCATTGAGCCATCACTTCAGGCCCCATTGGCGACCTTTCTAAGGCCTCAAGACCACATTCCCTGCAGAAGGCCAAGTTCTAAAGAGGCTGAGTGTATCGGATCCCAAATCTTAGCAACCACCATGGAACAATTTTGTTTCTGACTCTGGTTACTGGATTTTTATAACTATGCCCAATGAAATACCACCAGTAGTTACTAGACTCGCTCCAAAATTACCCAGAGACAAGCAGTCATTAACCAAGCATCGTCATACAGTTGTCTCCTCAAGTAAGATCACCCTTGTTTTCCCTTTCATACTCACGGATTATTTCCACTATATCTAGTGCCTCTTTACTTGGCCCCTTCCCCTAAAAAGTCATCACATGAAGGCAACTAGAATCATGCCTGTTCACCCACTGGTAACACTCTCTTTACCCAATTCCTTTTCTTCCCACAACCACATTCTTTCTGACTGACAGAGTTACCCATTCATGTTATTGATCATGTTCAAGAGTCAGATCGAGAGATTCAGGAAACTTCCCTAGACCTCCAGCCTTCTGTGTCTTTCCTGGCTTCCTGCCCATCTCCCTGCCCTGACCCAAACTCCACAGAGGCTGCCACTTGACACTTGCCCCAGTAGATGTCTTTGCTCACCTGCCTCGCAACACATACCCGCCAATCCCCTTATCTCAAGTTGACACTGAGAGACTCAGTTTAAACAATTGTATCCTATGATGATATAATCTCCCAGTACATTACCAAGCATAGAAAACCTCTCCAGAGTAAACAGTCACCAAAGAATATGTGTTGCTTTTGTTATCTAAAAACTGAGAATCAAAACAAACAGGGAAAATGAAACATGAGCCTAACTTCCTGTGGAAACCCAGCTGCCAGACACCTAATGAGCAAGGATGGCATTTTTCCTCTTACTTCTCTGGAAAGTTCTAAACACAATGCCTCGCTAGTGGTGCTCACAGAACATTTTACCTAAGTCTGCAAGGCCACGCCTTTTGATCAGCTAACCTTTTAGAGCCCATCTGTGTTCATGTAGCCCCGAGAGAAGACAAGCAGGGGCTGGGTCCTCTTAGGATTAACATGAGGCAAGCTGCGGCTTTCCAGAGGGAACAGAATGTGCAACAATATCCCGACAGCCTCATATTTGTTTTATTCCCAACAATGGCTACCCTCAGAAAGTTCCTTTTAAGCATCCTTGCAATTACCAGTCTTTAGCTAAACTCTCTCCTTTTTTCAGATTTATATTTTATTACAAAGGTAGAAAGACAAGCAAGAAATCTTCCATCTCCTGGTTCTCTTCCAAAATGCTCACAGCAGCCAGGAATGGGCCAAGCCAAGAGCCAGGAACTCAATTCAGGTTTCCCACTTGGACAACAAGAATCCAACTACTTGAGCTATTACCTGCTGTCTCTTGGGGTGTGCACCGTAAGCTGGAATCAGAAGTAGGATGTGTAAGTGATGTCCTTTTTAAAAAGATTTATTTTGCTTTAAATTGAAAGATTTACACAGAGAGGAGAGTAAGAGAAAGATCTTCTGTCCACTGGTTCAGCTCCACTGTAATGGCCAGAACTAAGCTGATCTGAAGCCAGGGGCCAGGAGCTTCTTCCAGATCTCCCATGCGATTGCAGGGTCCCAAGACATTGGGCCATCCTCTACTGCTTTCTCAGGCCACAAGCAGGGAGCTGGATGAGAAGTGGAGCAGCCAGAGCACAACCAGTGCCCCATGGGATCCTGGTGCATGCAAAGTGAGGATTTAGCCAGGCCCTCGAAGTGGTGTCTTAACCACTGTTCCAAACACCCTCTCCTGAACTCTTTGATGCTGGTGTATATGATAAATGTTTCTAGTCCTTTGTAAGTAGAGGGGAGTTCTGCAAGTGCTGGATGGGAAGAAGGCTTGATTTTTGTGTTCCCTTAATAAAATCTATTCTTTTCCTTATTATTTTGTCCTTAGAAAAGCATCAGTGTTGAGCTCATACAGCTGAAGGAAGTTCAGCTTTTGTTGGATTTTGTTTCATTTGGTCTAGTTCTGAAGGTGCTTCTGAACAGATGACAGATGCACTGGTGGGATAGTCCACAGTTTTCACTGTCCTGACTTCCCTGCTTCTTGTGTTGTGACATTAGCCTCATTCATATCAAAAGCAAATAAATAGGAATTCAAAGGCATATCAGCCAGAATTATAGAGCACACTACAACCTTCCTTTACTCTTCCATCCTCTGGGTCATTATGCTGTTTTTTGAGCCATCACTGTGGCTTTAAAATGGACTTGTGCTCTATTCTTGTCTCATCATGCACAAGGATGTTGCTAAAATCACTCTTGTCTCAGCTGACCTGACACTGTCTTGGTTCTTGGTAGGGGTTTTGGTAATTTCTCTCCATGGCACAGTTCAAGTATTCCCCAGGTATTAGAAAATATCACTGCTAAATTACAAAGTAGACTTGGGAACTGATCACATGGAAGACAAGCTGACCAGCTGATGTCCAGGCTGGCCAGCCCCAATTCTCTGTCTCTGCCTTAGCTACTGCTGACTTGGCAAAGCTATAAATCATCACATTTTGCCTTGCAGGGAGCTTCTCAGATCCTGCACTCCAACCTATTCACTCCACAGGAAGCAGACAGATCAGAAATTGGGAGGCTGGGAGAAAGGAAAAGGGGCCCTTCTGCCAGTAGGTTTGTATGCCAGAATGGTGGGCAGAGGCCCTACCTATCCCCCTCTCACTGTCAGAAACATGGACAGGGTGACCCAAACATAGACATTGTCTGGCAGTGATCAAAACCCATTGTCTGGCTCACCACCTCACTAAAGAACTTCCATTTACCCCCAGGTTCTGGGCAGAGGTTTTCGATCCATAGTTTTACTACTAGAGTGCTGAATCCACCCCAAGGAAGAAACCAGAAGAATCACAGCTATTTGACAACCCTATTTGGGAGATGGGCTTCTTCCTGGACACTCAACTGAGAAGTGATCCTTGCCATGGCGGATTCAACATGCTGATGGTGTGAGCATCAGACAGACTTGCATGCAGCCTGCCCCAAATGAACTTGTCTGGACCCATATTACTATGCTTGGTCACATCCCCATTTTCTCCCTGAATAAGGCCTGTGTTCTCAACAAGCCCACAGGAACTGTAAAAGCAACTCCCTGGGGGTGTGTGGGGCTCACTCATTCTGGGGACTCCATTGGGGTATGAGATGAGGAGCTGGGGCAGAAGATGTACTCCTTTGCTCTAAGTGCCCCTGCCAATGCCCTCTGCTGTCACAGAGAACATAGGCATGGGTCACTAAGCATTCCACATGCATTGTTTTAAAGCAGGTACCTGCTGGGCCGAATAGCTTCCCTTTCCCAAAGTTGCTACACTGAAGTCCCAGCCCCTGGACCTCCAGGTGAATCTGTATTTAAAGAGAGGCTTTTTAAAGAGGTCACTGAGTTCCCATGATGTCCTTGGGTGGGTCCCAGTGGTACATAGCTACTGGCCTTATGAGGCGATAATGACACAGACACCAACAGGAGAACGTGTGAGAACACAGGGAGAAGACAGTATTTACAAGCTACAGAGACCTTAGGGCAAACCAACCCTGTCCACACTCACTTCCATCTGGGTCTTCTGGCCTCCAGGATGGTAAGAAGATAAATGTCATTGATTGCTAAAACTGTCCAGTCTATGGTGTCAACACAGTGCTCTACATAATCCCATATTTTTGATAACAAAATTAAAGACCCTTTCCCAGGGTGTACACCTGCCATGAGGCTGAGGCAGGATTCAATCTCAGAGCATGACTCCACTGGCCTTGAGAGTGTGCACTTTACCAACTGTGCCCCTGTTGCTGACCCCAGTGAAGGAAAGAAATGAAAGCTGCAAAGGACTGAGAGTGGACAGGAAGTGTGGTGGCTGTAGAAAACAGAGACCTACCCTTGAGGGTTGAGCCAAAAGCAAATCTGAATTTAATTTGGCCTTCCTGAAACCGCCAAGAAAGGGGTGATGGCCATCCAGTGGAATGCAGTTACTTTACCACTGGTGCACCATTACTCCCCAGGAGCCTGCAGTGTGGCCCATGACTGAGAGGAGATATGCTGGCATTTCCCTCTCTGCAGTGGGCTCACCTGGAAGATTTCCTGTCTTACTTGAAGTTGATGCAAAAGGTAATGGGTTCTATCCAGCAGGCAAGCCCTCAGCCCACTGTAGCAGCTACGAAGGCCCTCCATGTATCTCCAAAACAGGCCTGGGAGTATTCAGGATCCCCCACCCACCCACAGCCTGCTCAC